CCACCCCTGTCTGGCAGGTTGGAGGAGGGTTTAAAGCCAGGTGCGCCCAGTGAGCTCGCCATGTCCAGATCCGGGGACAGGACCTCCACCTTCGACCCCAGCCACAGCGACAACCTGCTGCACGGCCTCAACCTGCTGTGGAGGAAGCAGCTGTTTTGCGACGTGACCCTGACGGCCCAGGGCCAGCAGTTCCACTGCCACAAGGCCGTACTGGCCTCCTGCTCCCAGTACTTCCGATCTCTCTTCTCCAGCCACCCCCCTCTCGGGGGAGGGGTCGGCGGCCAGGACGGCCTGGGGGCCCCCAAGGACCAGCAGCAGCAGCCACAGCAGCCGCCTCCACAGCAGCAGCCGCCACCGCCGCCGCAGGAGGAGCCCGGGACGCCTTCCTCCTCCCCCGACGACAAGCTGCTGACCAGCCCCCGGGCCATCAACAACCTGGTGCTGCAGGGCTGCTCGTCCATCGGGCTGCGCCTGGTGCTCGAGTACCTCTACACGGCCAACGTGACCCTCTCCCTGGACACGGTGGAGGAGGTGCTGTCGGTCAGCAAGATCCTGCACATCCCGCAGGTCACCAAGCTCTGCGTGCAGTTCCTCAACGACCAGATCTCGGTGCAGAACTACAAGCAGGTGTGCAAGATCGCCGCGCTGCACGGCCTGGAGGAGACCAAGAAGCTGGCCAACAAGTACCTGGTGGAGGATGTGCTGCTGCTCAACTTCGAGGAGATGCGCGCCTTGCTGGACTCGCTGCCGCCCCCCGTGGAGTCGGAGCTGGCGCTCTTCCAGATGTCCGTGCTGTGGCTGGAGCACGACCGCGAGACCCGCATGCAGTATGCGCCCGACCTCATGAAGCGCCTCCGCTTCGCGCTCATCCCGGCCCCGGAGCTGGTGGAGCGGGTCCAGTCCGTGGACTTCATGCGCACCGACCCGGTCTGCCAGAAGCTGCTACTGGACGCCATGAACTACCACCTGATGCCCTTCAGGCAGCACTGCAGGCAGAGTCTGGCCAGCAGGTAGGAGACAACAAAGAAGGGCTGGGAGGGGGGGGGTGGAGGCTTGGTGGGGTGGGGGGTAGTCGAGGGGCCGAAGAAATGGCTGGGGGCAAGGAGGAGGGGAGAAAAGGGTGGGTTGGGATAGAGACTCTGGCCCGCAGAAAACGCAAACAAACAATTCAGACCCTGTGGGGAAAGTTGATTTCAGAGTGTCTGAAAGGTCAATGGGGACCTGGCCTAATGTTATCCCTGAGCGCAGGAAATGTCAGGTTCTCAATACCCCTTGGAGGAGGGAAACTGAAATTGGGGACCCAAAGGCTGAAATTAACAAGCAGGTGGGGCCAGAGTCCAGGACAGTTAGAAGTGGTGCAACAAGCTTTCCTGCCTGGAACCAGCAGAAGAAAGAGGTGACGCTCAAAGGCTTAGAAAAGAGAATTCTTAGGGCCTTTCTTCTTCCTCTTCTTCTCCTCTCTTTCCATCGTTTTTGGTTTGGAGCCTCTTTTCTACTCACTGGAGTCAATTGGTTTCCCAGGGTAGCATTTTAGAAATGCTTTTCCTATCTGAGTCACTATTGGAAATGCACCCTATGGCCCGGCAAACTTTTGAATCTTGTGCAAAGTCCTCCTTTTCCACGTGAAAGAAGGGCCAGAGCAAGAGATGATAGGGTGTCCTGGTGAATCTAGCTAGCAACTCCCTCCCTGGGGAGTGGGGAGAGTGCAATTGAAAATCAGGGATTGGGGGAGTGTCATCTATCTCAAGTTAGGTCCGTGCACCCCTGCATAAGTCACAAACAAGTTAAGCTGTTGCCTTGTGACTGTCATTTAGAAGGTGTCCCTATGTCCGTGTGTGTGTGTGTGTGTGTGTGTGTTGCAAAGAGGATGCCAAAGACCTGTCAAAGGAGAGAGAGAAATGATGTCTTTTAAAAACTGCAGCTGGGATAAAAAGATTGTGGGAAATGATTATCGTGTTTTATTGGCTACAATATAAAAACCCGTGTTAATGAGTGCCAGAAGAAGATTTCTTTCTATTTTTAGAAACAAAAAAGAAGCCTTGTCTTCTGATGGTAAAACACCATGACTGCAGATGCCAGGGTACCCCCGCTTAATCCACGAGAGAGAGTGTTGTGTGGTTTGAACATCTAGCTTGACCTTTTCCTATCCAGAATGATGTCTGAAGGATAGGATACACTCTGGGTGGCCTTGCAGAAGTGAATGCCTATTTGGGGTGGTGGGGAGGGCATGATATTTCTACCAGACCTAGGTAACTAAAGTTTTAGGAAATTGAAGCTATCCCCCAGTTAACAGGGGGATAGGTGTTAAGGGGAGGCCCACACCTTGAACTTAGAAACCTGGTAACTTGATTTTTCTTATATCCTTGGAAGATGAGTTAACAAATGATGGTATCAATGGTATCAATCGATGATAGTGAGACAATAGCAAACACAAGAATATAGACTCATGTGTGCTTGTATAGTAAAGCAGGCAGTCAAGAGAGTGCAAGAACATGGGTCATATTTCTCATCTTGTCAAATTTTCATTGATTTAAAGATTGTAATGGTAAAATGAGTGTGGTCCCAGTAATTACCATACCAATGGGCATGAGTGATGTAATATTGCAGTCTTATTTTAACTTTGATCATTATAAATAACCTTTAAATAGACTTGCTTTAAAATACATCCCCACGTGCAAAAAATCAGACAAAACAGCTGTTGACCTGAACATACCCTTACTCATATTTTAAAACAATATGTACAACTTTGTGTGAATTCTGAAAGGCAAGAGATAAGAAAATGAAGATTTAACTTATTCTGAGTGGTTCTGTAGAATGAGCATAATGAATCTGATCCAATAAATGAATTCTGAAGCCCTCGCTGCACTCCTATCTCATAAATATGTTCTGGGATTCAGTGTCAGAAGAGTTGACTTTCAAAATGCAAAATCCATTTCTTACCTTCGTCTGGATTCAGCACACCAGCTGGGGCCTGCTGGCTCTGTCCTGGTGGATGGCTGAGATACCAGGCTGCGTGGCTCCGTGACGACACCTTCCAGCTCCACTGGCCCATGTCATTTGATGGATATGTAGTGGTGTCTGACCACTGAATGCTTACAAGTGTCCTGGATGCTGCAAGAATCTGATACTTCTGCAGCAGGAAGGAAGCTGTATTTTCCTTTAAAAGAAGAAGGTACAGAAAATAGTTCCTGTGAACCTTTTACTGCAGTCAATATTACTTAACAAAAGGCTAAGTAATCCATTAGTAACAACATTTTACATTTTAGTTACTAATTCCATTATCAATTCTAATTCACAGAAAAATTTATCAAGATCTTAACTTTAGGTAAACAAAAATCTCTTAAGTTATAATCACTAATATTGCATCAGCTCAGCAGAATGTAAAAGTATTCTTTCTTAGCCTTAGCTTAATTTGAGAGGAGATTAAATGTGTTAATTATTTTTTGTAATTAAATCACTTTTATTGAATGGATAGAATATATTATATTTACTATGTCTGGTTTACCTGTGGTTGTGATACTCCATATATGAGTTTCTCAAACTCAAAGAGTGAAATGAATAATTAAAATTAACCAGTATGTTGGAATATGTATATAATACAAACAAATTGGATAACTTCAAATAAAATATACTTGCTTAAGGATTTGTGTTGTCTATATGATGCAACATGACAGTATAGTTTTTTTAAATATTTATTTTAAATAATATTAATGTTAATGTTTTTTAAGATTAGAAAAATGAAGCTGCCAAAGTGTAAGATGATAAATACTCAAATTAATATTAAATCTTTGCTTTAGCTGCTTTGTTTTCCAGAATACACTATTTATGCTCAGATTCATAATCTATTTTAACAAACTAAGCATTCAGAATAATAAGTAAAGTAAGATAATATATGTTCAATAAAATACATTGAAATAAAATACATTTAAATGTAGAGATAAGCAACGTGGAATTGTAGGATTTGCGTAGACAGATAATAAAGCCTCTTAGAGACTTAATGTTTGGTTATTTTCTTCTTGTCCTATTGAAAAAAAATTGCAAAGCTCAAGAAATAGATTGTTGGAAAGGTTGCTAAAAGGGTCATTATCAGAGGTTCCTAAAGCATGGAAATTTAGTTAAATGAAGGGTCATGACATGCAATATTCTGTACATTAAAAAGTAACGATCAGAAAACTTATAACTGAACTTCTGATTAAATAAATCAAAAAGTTTCTCTTTATATTTTATTTATTTATCATTTAGTAATCATTCCTTAATGAACCACACTGGACTAGATTAATTAACTTCCTCTGCTTACATTTCCATTGCACCCCTCACCATGTAACAGTTAAATCAATGCCTGGTGAAAGTTGAATGAATGAAGCTGATGACGTCAGGAAGCTTTAGTGCAGGCACTTCCGATTGCGTTCCCAAGTCTCTGTTACCTGTGCACAGAACGAAACGCCCACTGATGCTGCTTTTTTAAAAAGAGAGTGAGCACATGTAATAAGGAAGTATTTGTGGAAAGAAAAATTACTTTGTAAACATTCAACCATAAGCTATTATAATCCCATCATCAGCTTCATATTAGGTGAAGTTTTGGGGTTTTTTGTAAATGTATTTTATAGAAGATGCTACTTTACCAAGATTTCACTCTCTACAAAACATAGGCTATTTGAAAATCACATGAATTAGTGTAAGAAATGTACTTAAACATTAAGAGTACTAATTATCAATTTGCTAAAATCACTCAGCAGTGATTTTTAGTTTTATTGGATTTTAAATATTAATGTCCTATTAGATAACCCAATAGCCAGCCCCACCTCATCCCCACCTTTAGTGCCTAGACAGTGTCTATTTAGATGTAGGACAATATTTACTATTTGTTCTCTTCCTGAGAATTCAATAACAACCTTCACAAACCAAACTAATTTGTATCCATGCCATCTCTAAATTGTTGCTTCCCTTTATATCAATTTGATCTCCTCAGATGAGAAGTTGTTAGGCAGTTAGCTTTTGTATCAGAAGTTACTCAGCCATTCAGAATACAATCTGTTTATTATCTGAAACAGGACAATTGATTGCAAAATTATAACAGGCATAGGAGCTAAATTGTTATATCCTCCAGTCAAAATGCAATTAGGGAAGACATTAATACATTGTATTGGCATTGAGGATTTAGTGACAAAAGTGGACATGTTCATATTTTTATCCATGGTAGTATTTTTTCCATTTTTATGACTATGTTGAGGTTAGCTCATTAACTTAGGCAACAATTTTAAATGAACAATACAGTCCAAGTGCAATACTTTATTTACCGTTGTCCTACTATATATACATACATACTACATATACCAGGTGATTAACCACTTCACCAAAGTTAAATGATTTCATTCATAGTAGCACCAGGTGGAGAGTACCATCATTGACCTCATTTAGTAAATGGGAAAAACGGACCCGAAGAGAAGTTAAGCATTTTGCCCCAGGCTGCACAGCTGGCAAGTGGTAGAGCCAAGGACTGAGCCCAGGCAGCGGGCTCTTCAGTTTGTGTTCGCCTCTGCAGTGTGCTGCTTCTTGCTGTATAGGCTTCTCTATGCTAGCTCATAATTTAGTGGTTGATCTTCAAGTTATATGTTAGACTTGGCACTTTCCTTGGGGTGGGGGCACATGTCAGGGTTAAATAATAATACATCTGACACTTAAAGGTGCTGATGAGCTAGGCCAAGGATAGACATTTCATCCTTTCTCTGTGGAAGGTCATGTAGTAAATGTTTTCTGCCCTGGAACCACCTCATGTCTGGAGCAACTACTCATTTCTCCCCTTGTGATGCAAAACCACCCACAAACAGTACATAATACATGGGCATGGGGGGAAGGGTTCCATTTAGCTCCATTTATGGATGCTGAGATAATTTTCACTCTTCTTTTGATTTCTTCAACTTATAAAAATGTAATTTAAAAAAGCAAACCACTCAAAGTTCATGGGCTATCCAAAAACCGGTAGCAGGCTGGATTTGCCACAACCCCTCTT